TTACGACAAATCACGAGAAAAATATTAATAAGGTCTAAATCGTACGGATAGGAAGTGACCCTGCATCAAGAAATATGATGCTTGGTTTTTGCTTACCCGGCTCGCTCTCCGAGATATCAGGAAAACTGGGACCATGAAATGCGGAAATGGCAAATGATCAGTAGAATAGCTTTGTCGGGTTTGTTGTATAGAAGCCAGGCTTCGGAATCCTTTTCGTGCAGGTACCAGGGACCCCAGTGCAAAAGCTCTGCAGGCGCAAGTAATGTAATCGCTCAGGTGGCGTGAAATGTAAGGGCCATCGAACACAAACAACACGATCTTTATAGAGCCAAAACTATAAGAATTACAGGAACAACATTTTTTGTGTGTTTTATATGTTTTCAAGAGGAGGCATCGGTATTTTGTTGGTTTTACGTTTTATCAAATGAGAGGGATGTCATACTCCTTATCACGTCGGTGTACTGGAGCATCGAGGTCAGTAATGTTCTGATCTATAATGCTGAAGGCTTACCTCTAGAAAGGAATCAGCTTGAACTCTGCGTCGTAAGTCTGGCCGAAGACTTCAAGGGAGAATTTGATCCAGAGCCAACCATCCTTGACGTAGAGAGTGATACTGCCGGCGAGAATGCCCGAAGCCCCAACGGTAATGGTAATTCCATCGCGCAAATTCCCCTTGAATTCTCCAAGCTTAATAGCCGGAAGAAGTGGAACCTTGACGTAGACGGAAATGTCGGCCTCAAGGGTGGTAAGGTCAAAGTATCCCCTCAACTATGTACAACGAAGCACGTTTATTAGCCAACCCCCGACACGATATAAAGGCTTGAAGAAGTCACCTGAAGAATGACTGGTCCAAGAGGGATGTCAATTTCCACATTGTAGCGGTCTTTTTTGTCGCCAAACACGGGACGGCCAGCGAGGGCATAGACATGGTAAACGTCCGAGCCTCCGCCGCTACGTGGAAGTGTGACGACGCGGTGATTGCCACCGAGCCAGTGTTTGGGAGGAGCTCCTTCTAAGTTGAACTAGGAGTGAGTAAAATAATCGTCTGAAAGAAGAGAAAGATACGAACCTTCGGTCGACATCTTTCGAGTTGCTTGTGTTGCTAATGAGTTTGCTGCAAGTTGCTGAAGAAAAGGTGGGGAATCTGCCCACCTTTTATACATCCAGTCCCGTTGGTATGATGCGATTTCAGCGCAGAGGCATGTGGTTACCCTAGATTCGTAGATGCTGTGAACACCGACCAGGATTCAGCTGTCTGTCTGAAAAGCCGGGGTATTGGTTCACGAGTTATTCGGGGTTCATGGTACCTATCCCGGCCTTTGTTCGACTTACGTTCACTGTACGGCGACACGAGCTCGAGGTTCAAATTCCTAAAGGATTTTTTTTAAGATTTACCTATTCACTATGAGTTCTACTGGCATGTGAGACATCCAAAATAAAGATACTTGATTAGAGGGCACCTTTTTCTTTCTGGCCGGTTCGGAGCTAGAGCTAACGCTTTACTGAGCCTCCTTGCCTATGTTCACGGTACATCAGCACAGAATAAACAGTAGTTATTCACAGTCAATACCCACGGTATAATTATTGTATCCTATAATGCGGACAGGGACCGCAGCTTGGCTTAGGAGTGGTGTACAATCACGTCAAAAATTCTTTGAACGAGCTGACCTGTATGGCATCTATCCGACAAGAATATACACCAGATAGCTATCCGTCAAGGTGAGCGGGGTCATTTTCTAGACAAAAATAACTCGTCATTTCCTTGACTTAGGTGTAAAACGACTGTAACAGACAGATGACAAAGTGTGGCGCAAATTTTCGGGGATGCATGTCCAGGAAACTGGAAATCGAGGGTGTGTTCCTCGTGGATCTGCTAAGTTGGCACAAAAGAAGCCATCTCGGACGTACTGAAACAGGCCATTGCTACCACAAGGGTTTTCAGCGTGAATTCGACAAGTAATAGGCACAACGTACATGCATTGTTATCGCCACTATGACCTCGCACCGTACTGTCTGGGTGGTACGTCTGAACTGGGCCAGCTCCGCCGGTTCAATTGGTAAGAGACAGAGAACATCAGGAGAATGGGCTTCTCCCGCGAGAGGCTGTATGTTTGGGGAAGCTGCGAGTGCACCTGGGCCAAGACAGCAGTGGAAACAGGATTTCTGATATGCTCATATCCTTATGGCAGTCTGCATACCAGTGAATCCAATACTACTAGAACAACCTTACCGGCGGTGAGCACACTACAAGGACTAGGTCAGCCTGCAATCCTGCTATTCTCAAAAGGGGAATTGTCCTGATAGCGACAGGGTTAATGCTGGTACGACCAACACCGGAAATGTTCTAATCGCCGTGACAAAGCAACTGAGTGGCAGAAGGGGCAAAGAAATCCATAATCAGTGACCAATATAACGAGCACGTAGTTAGGTGTAACACACCGTCTTCACATGTTATCTCGTGAAAATTTGGCACTATACCAGATCACTCAAGTTCATCAAAAGCGGATGTTCGAGACATTTGTAAAGGGTGGCGTTGGAAAGATCGACCACGGGTTGGGGTCCACGATAAGAATAAGACCTGCGATAACCTGCGATGTATTTCGACCATGATTGGACACTGTATACCATCGGTTTTCGTACAGGGGTAAGGTTGGCTTGCGGTGCATTGGAGGGGTCAGTAGGGGCTGAAAAGGTGGATGCGATTGGAAGCAGGAATGACCAGTACGTATGTAAATCTGACTCACATGTACGGGGCACTGGTAGCCCCTTCGTCATGGAGAAAAGGCTTGTATCAGACTCTCAGACACTCCCGCGCCAACATGCACGCATGGAAGACTTCTTTTCTTATTCGGACCCAAGAATAGTCAACGAAGGTGCGGGAAGACGAGCTAGAGAAATACTGAGTAATCGGAGTCAAATATCGGAACGAGCATAAACCTTACGGGCTTGGCAAGGTAACCTAAGCAAGTTCATATAAAGGTGAGAGGTTTGGCTTTCGTCCAGCAGTGGTCCAAAGGCATCGGCTGATTCTGGTATTAGACTGCGGGTAGAATTCTGCAATTTGGCATACGACAGGGACATTTTAGTATGTCTCTCAAGCTCGACGAGCTTATACCAAAGTCATATTCCAAGATAACTTCAGGTGATGGACTCCCTGATTGTTATGTCTCCATCCGGGATGCTGAAATGTTGAGTTAGATGCCACTGAACTGGCGATTGGTGGTACGTTGGAACTAAGACCTACCTTCACCGCGTTTCAGCAAAATGATGACTTTGAGTCCAAGGAAAGGCTTCTCCCGAGCCACGACCATATGCTGTATGGAGTCGCGAGGTCGACCAGACAGCACCAATGAGACCATGCCGAGGCATGTTGCACAGAAAGCCATCAGAACGAACGCAAATTCAAGTCACCGCGCCAACGATTACTAAGTACAAGAGAATCAAGTCAATATGGAATCGGTTCTATTTTCAAACATCGCGTAACTTACCACAATGCGCACCGTGAAATTATCGGTCCATATCACGACAATACGACGAGTGACGAAGGTCCTCTGGACCCCGTGCCTAGCTTGACAGATTGTCGTAAGCACGTACCAGGTCAACGTCGTCAAGAGACTCAACTAAATCTCGGAGATCGACTGGCAGCGGGTACGGAATACCTGTCGAATCGTGATACGGGGCAGGTGAGCAGAAGCCTGTGGTGCTTCTACGAGATCAGTGGGTTTGCGATAATTGTCACAGACCGAGAAATAAAACCTCTGATGTATCTTGACGATGATTGTCGGAAATAATAGACGACACAGGTTGTGTCCAACCTCAGCGGGAAAGATGCAGGCTGGCTTGGGGTATTATGACATTGTAGATCGGAACATCACCGAACGGTAGTGACAAACCACCTTTACACTTCAGCATTAGACAACTGCAATTCTCTGAAGATCAAGGTCGGACTTACGTGGAGACACTTCCGCTGTTATTTGTTACCAACGGCGAGTCTTCGACGCACAATGAACGTGTATATGCCTTCTCTTAATCGGTTCCGAGCATAAACCAACAGGAGGAATAGAAACCGCCGCCTTGAAAATGTCTCCGAAAAAATCAGAGTCAAATATTGCATAGACACAATGGAGGCCTATGCGAGAGCGAAGAGCTGGAAGATACTCCCCGTGATGTGCGTGCACGTGGACGTCATTGGACTCCATAGAAGAATCGTATGAATCGTTGAATAGCGGATGTGATTGAATCCAGAGGATTGAGAAACTTACTTTAGACCCTTGCCTGCCCTGTATGTAGTCGTAGAAGAACCTAGAAGAACGGTTCTCACAGTGACAGTGACGGTGACAGAAATGTATCAGCCGCATGAAAATGATGCCTCGTGTTCCGGCTTACTCATTAACCACCATCACGACTTCCACGACAAAGACCCTTCGCCTCCTCTACCCTCAATATGTTCCTGCCTTGGCCCTCGAGATGGCACTGTGTTCGCGAATAAGTTGGGCAGAAACAATTTGTGCTGGATAGTAACACTCGGTTCGAGGTCTACAAGTTTTCGGTCTTGTCGTTCTCTTTCTGATATATCGGGGCAGACGGTGGACCACCGGAATAATAATCTCGTCAAAGGGATCACGCTCCGGTTGGAGGAGTAGCTGTTGAGGCGCGTGAATCCTCAAATTCTCCCTATTCTGAAAACGCTGACCTTCTATTTTGAAACACAGGCCGCAAGGTTGCGAGGACATTCGGGAATTCTCTCTGCAGCACCCTTCAAGCACACTAGAGCCCACTCTGGTCAGGAGCAAAGTTTGTCTGCTGGACGAAAACAAAGGGGTATCAAAGATCATGAATCCAAAGTTGCATTTCCAAACCTCGAGAGCCCCCTTCACCACCACACACAATAACCAGCCGGCCTACGCTCCTGCGGCTCATTACTCGAGAACAGGTGATCAGTATAAAAACGTTGGGCTAGTGAATCTAGCCATAAATGTACTACTGAACCAAAGACTAACGCTTCCTTGGCTCAGTTGGCTAGAGCGCAGGTCTCATAGTATGTCTATGACATTGGTGCTGACCAATGAAATCCTGAGGTCGCAAGTTCGAGCCTTGCAGGGAGCATTGGGTCATTCTGTAGGTTCTTTTTTTGGTCCTAGATTCGAGACCGACGGTGTTGCATAGCAAGTAAACATTACAGAAGGCGAAACCCACTGTAGATAATCATGAAATAAGTTATGCAAAGTACAAGGCTTCGCGATATATGGTACAGTTTCATGCCAGTAGGATGACCAACGACAAGACCGGAACGAGTAGCTCGATTAGCGAGCAAACATGAGAGGCGGAAGCAGAATTATCAGCAAAGATATCATTCTGAGCACCTGCGCAACGGTCAACACAATGAATGATTCAGCAATCCAAACAACTCCTTACCATTCTCAAACCCCAAGCTTCTCATTGTACCCAGGGCTTCTCGGCGCTCCACTCAGATCTCCTGCCTGCAACCTCAATATTGTTGCCTTCAAGCTGATTCCAAAACACCATCTGCTTCGCTCCAAGTGTACAGTCTCCAGGCGAATCTTCACACCACACCGCTGGTTTCGCCGGTAAAGCCAGCGGAGCACCTCCAGGTGTACCCGTTACTATACATTTGTACGGGAACATGTACATGTTGGGTTCACCACAGCCATTTGGTATCTAAATCTTGTTGCGTCAGCGATGTCTCAGGACATGAAGGAAAACGAGGCTTACCCAGCCCCACTGCGTACACAGGGAAGGATCGCGATGAGAGAAAGCCAAGGACTACGGACAAGAGAAAACTCACAGCACAATGACATCCGCCAGGAGGACAGCAGGGAGATTCGGAACTTGGTAGGTTGCGAATACGCCTCCAAGGGGAGCTAACCAATACTAGATCATTAGTGCGTCGTGAAGGAGGTAGTACAAACCACGTACTGGTATAGAACAGTGAAAACCACAAGGTTTTCGGGTGTTACATCTTTCAGGTTCAGACTGCGGACGAGGATGAGTGTCACGGAGGCTTGGTGTGTCCGCCAAGACATACATGATAAGAGATAGCGAATGCTGTTCCGGCGGCCATCGTTTCGTTCTGTGTGTGGACTGCAAGTAAAGTCAGAATGGGGTGCAATTTGCGAAGTATGAAAACGCACTATTTGGATCTGTGATACACTGTGGTTCCTCTCCCTTGCTTCGTGACACCAAACTCGTCATCTCTCAGGCCCCTCAGCGGTCCAGGGAACATTGCAGCTTGCTTGCCGTCGTTCGTCAAGGTGGTGAAGGCGCGGTTGGTTGCGAGTTCTACGGTAAATTCCCATTGGCTGGACTGTAGGTCTTCGCGTTAGGGATATGTTGCATAGAGGACTTTGGCGTCGAACTCACAGCTCGAGGAAGTCGCCTGGTGCAGGGGAAATTCATCGCACTGTAGGCGAGCATGAGATTACCATATAGATTCCTTAGAAGCTCTACAAAGCACCTTATTATCATGATGCATCCACCAGTCCTTCCATCTTCAACTGTTGGTCGAGAGTTAGCAAAGGCTCTCCATAATACAACAACGCCACATACGTTAAAGAGAGGATCCACAGGGGCATTGTTATTCCCATTATCTTCTCCGGGGACCGTTCCATTTAGACAGTACATTCCTGTCAAGTCAGAGAGAAAGATCAGCATACGGCTCTTTGAAACGATAAAGTTGTGAGCATACCTTTGTGCCAGGCAACAACATGACTACGAACTCGAAACGAAAAAGAAACAAGAAGAAAAAGGCGTAGAAGAAGCTTCATTCCACACCGCACCAGGCGAGAGGGAACTTTGGATGGTGATGGTAGTGGTACAAGTACAAGCGAGGAAAACCTTGGCGCGCAATGTCCTCGGCGAAACGCAGGGACATGTTCTTATGTAAGACGACCAAGGAAATGCGACATGTCACAAGCAGGTGATTGTGATGCTCATTGCCCACTGCGATCTGTCCCATTTAATCGCAAAAACAGCGATTTTCCTTTTCGTTTTGACCTGGTTGGGAAAGTCACCACCGTGCTGGTACTCCATTCAACATCCAAGCGCTCCGAGTCCATGTCTAGAACTCGTAAGCTCCTTGGTCTCTGGTATTGGACCACAAATGGCGACGGGCGTCACCCAATGACAAACGACTGAACAGCGGGGAGCTACCTCGAAGGAGCAGAGCGAGCGCCAACCGAATTCAACACGGATGAAGCCAACCAGGTATTGCGAAAGGAGAAGGAGCGAGTCATAACGAAGGGCGCATGAGTCGGTGAGGGAGCGAATGAGCGGGGCGCACAATACGTCCCTCCGAATGGTCTTCTACGTCACTGCGGTAGTACCTTCTTCGGAAGGCCTGGGAAGATAATACATTGGCACAGTCCTCCGTCAACGTCGGAAAGCCATTCATGGGCTAAAGACGAGGTAAATGCGAATCTGCGAATGCCAATATATCTTGGTTCTTGGTGACCTGCTGGTACAGCATGATAGCACATATCACCACGTTCCCGGACGACGGAGCTGTACTATGAATAGCGACATCGTGGTGTACAGGTAGCATGGTACTGCACGATGAGTAAAAGTGCTTATGCTCAAAAGTTGGATGACATACCAAGACACCCACAGTCATCGAGCATAGCCGCAGGCAGAGAGCTTATCCAGAAGACGGCAGGTGATATATGAAATCACGAAGAAGCGTTTGAAAACGTTTCACGGAAAACCACCGAGCGAAGCTGTTGAAAGGTCGGAAGGTTAACCGAGCGTGGGCAACGGGTACGCTTCGGAGAAGAGCTTTGTGCTGACTCTGATCGATTAGCCTGAAAGAAGACGTCAGCCGTTTTTCGACATCAGGCAGAACGAGCAGCCCGGTGGCTGAAGGAACACCACCGAGGTCACATCGGTGTGATCCTGCTGTACGGAAACCACCAAAGGAGAACGAACAATGTGAACGGCACCAAGGTACAATGTGATCGGTGATGCTACACAGTATGTCCAAGATCTGCTGGGCGCTTGCTCGGTGTCACGGTGCTCCGGGATACTAAATTGACAAGCTCGTGTGGGCAAGACCAAGAAAACGGATCAGCCGTTTTCAACATCGGAGGCAGCAACAGCAGCCCGAACCTGCTTAATGGGCGAAGGAACAGCACCACGTGGGTGTGCTCCTACTGTACGGAGACCACCAAAGGAGAATGAACAACGAGAACGGAGGTAAGGCCCTACAATGTGATCGGTAATGATCCACCCAACAGGGTCCAAGATCTACTGGGTACCTGCACGGTATCACGATGCTCCGGATGCTAAGTTGGCGAGCTCGGGGTGAAAGGACCAAAGGCTGCCTTTCCCTGTTTCTATTTCAGCCGCCTCCCAGGGTGGTATACAGTAGACTCCTTGCCCATACTGAGCTAGATTTACAGGAAGGAGGTATGGGAAGTTTGTCAGGAACTCCGATGCTCTGTAAAGCATTCTCCGTTAATATCCGTAGTGTGACTTGGTGGGTGTATGATGGGGTAGGTGGGCATGGCTCTTTCCGTAGATGGCGACTGTGTTGCGAAAGTCCATCGCCAGATAACTGGCGAAAAACACCACCCATAAATCCATGGAGACCGTGATAATGCTCGGCTTCTGAGTACGAATGCCCGAACAGCACAGGTGATGGAGTCGTAGAAGGCGAAGGATCGTTCGTGAAGCCAGAGTCGGTGGTGTTGCAATCATGGTTTGTCGCGGCCTAGTGTTACCAAACATCAGCCAGCATTCATACACACACGTAGACCTAGTAAAAGCTCACCTTGAAAGCCGTCTTGAAGACAGAATTGCAGCATGGGGAGCAGCGCGATAATGTCCTTGGCCTACGATTGCCGAACGTCAGTTACATAAGTATTTCGACCTGATGAAAGCTCACCTTGAAAAACCGCTACATTCGACTCGGTAGTTCCACCGGCGTGAAGAAGGGAGCACCATTGTGTTGTCAAAGACAGCTCTCCAAATGCAAGAAGTCAAATCCTGGCCACCCGAGAGTGGTAAACCGCAGTTATGGATCGCACTTGGCTTGAAGTTACCAAACGTTAGCCATATAAGCACGTAGACCTGATAAAAGCTCACCTGAAGAAGCCCCTGCCGTCTCTGCTAGCCACGCCGCCGTGAAGAAGGGAGTACCGCTGTGCAAAGACAGCCCGAGAGACGAGCACCATGGACGACATTCCTCCGAGAGCAGCATGAGAAAGGATATGAGAGGCAGAGTACTCTTTCCGTTTTCCTGTTCAACGGACGGTGATCATACACCAAATCGCTAAACGGCCAATCCTTGCAAAGAAGCGACATCGAGATGGCAAGCACGGACGAGGCCACTAAACGCCGACCATGTATGGCGCCACTTGCTGGTGGTGAACACCGAGATCCATGGGTGCTCTACCACAATTGACGACCTAAGCTACATGAGAAGGAGCGGCAATATCGGAAACGGGATTCCTTCGCAACCAAGGGTCAGCTATCCAATCACAGAGAATGAGAGAACCGGTAAATGCTTACCTCGAGAAGCCATCTCCCCAGATCTCAAGTGTGGTGTGCAGGAATGATAGGGTATGTGCCTCGTCTTGGGTACTTGGACGAGACTGAGCATGGTATTGTTGAACTTGAAGCAAGGCATGAAGAGCAGTATGTTATACCCTTGGCCTAGGATTACCAAGCGTCAGCCACGCAAGCATTGAGATCTGACGTAGCCCCGCCACCGTGAAGAAACGAGCACCGCTGTGTTGACGTTAAAAGCAGCTCTCCAAATGGACAAGCCAAGTCCTGGCTAACGAGCAGTGTGCTTGAACCGGCAGTGAAGTTGATATCGCTAACTGGCCAATTCTTGTTAAGAATCGACATAGCAAGAAACACGGACGAGGCCGGTGAGTTGCTGCCCCAGTATCGTGATTCGTTAGTCTCGATACTGGACACCGGATACCATGTGTTTCGACAGATGCATGGAACATCGCCAAGTATCCCGAGATAGGCAGGTGCTCTACCAGGCGACATGCGGTATGAGCTGCACGGAAAGGAATCAAAGCAGGATTCGCAATATCTCTGAAAGGCTTGAGGGTATAGCGCACTCGCCGCCTAGGATCCAAAACGTCAGCTATTTGATCACAGAGAACCCTTGAAAGCTCACCTTGAGGCTTGAGAAACCACCTCCCCGTATCTATGATATAACAAACACCATGGTTTGCCTCGACCAAGAGCCAGATAACAGTGACTCAAAAGGAACCTCGTCTTATGGGTCTGAGCGCAATCGCCATCTGAGAATGGGGGACGAGCATGAGTACGAATGGTATCGTCGAAACTAGCATTGGCAGTATTAGGAGCGGCAAGGTATATGTCTTCGGCCTAGGATTCATAAATGTAAGCCATACGATCACATAGACTTCGTGAAACTTCACCTCTGCAGCATGAACCGCCGGTACCGCGAAAAAGGGCCATCGCTATGCCAAACCACGTCGGGCTCCGGCGGCGAGAGTTTCTGGGTAGCCCGTACGAGAACTAGAATGAGAAAGAGAATAGGGAGCTCTGATGTACATGATCTAAGGAAGGAAAATCAATTAGCTGTGTACCACCATGGCTTCAAACGGGGAGGCCTTACAGGGACAACGCAGGTACGTGGAAGTGGGAGTGAGATTGTACGATTCATTCATCTGTGAAACCCGATGTTAGGTATGCTTCTTTGGAAAGAGTCAGGTTACGCACCTCGTTCTGGAAACGAAAGAACACCGTCTGAAGGGAGAGGTCTCCAAGTTTTCCTTTTATCGTCTAGTCAACCGTTCCCTTCTCCAGACTATCTTCTAGGGCAACAGTCCAGGATTAGCGGTCCTTAGCCTACGATATCCAAACGTTAGCTGACGTGCAAGTGCGTAGACCATGTAAATGCGCACCTCTGCGAGATCAACATGCACGGTAGTCGTGGAAGAAGGGTAAGACTGTTCTGGAAATGGAACGCGTCTTGAGCAGGGTGCGACTCCGGGGGCATCATGACGGAGGTATAACCCAGCAACGGATGGTGCAGGGGGGTAAGAAAAGTTTTCTAGGTCTTCGTAGGACGTGAGAGTGGGTGTATTCTTCATGACACTAAAAGCCGACATCAGTTATTGGAGTTTTGACAACTCGATGAAAAATTACTCACCCCAAAGGTATAGCATGCCCCTTCATAAAACCATCCTCTATACCCATCCTCCATTTTACATCCATCCATCCAGCCCTCCTCCCATCCTCCTCCCTTCCGTCCAACCATCCTCCCTGCCATCCTCCCTTCCTTCTGTCCTTCTGTCCGTAGTTCCCATCTTCGTAGTACCGGACAACCAGGAACATCCAAGATACCCCGACAGTCGAAAAGTCTAAGACCGACAGAGGCGAAGATTGATTGTCTTGAGAACGTCAACCTTTGGAGACAAGCGCTGCAACCGACAGGATAGATGAGGATGCGAAGTGGGAGAGTCTAAGGTATCTCCCGTCCTTCCCAAAGCTTAACCCAATCTCCTTCCCATCACGACACGCGAGAACCGATGCGGTTTAAGTTATGCTGGTTGGATAGCAAGACTCGGAGGAGGGGAATTGGATGATGCGAGCGAGCAATGAAAAAGAGATGTTGCAAGTGGAGGAAGAGATCATGGTAGTTCGGGAGCAAAACCGTTCGTGAGAAAGCACATGTGGCCCTGTCAACCTGGCAACTACGCATCCGGTTCGATGGTGTAGTTGGTTATCACGTCCGTCTCACATCAATTTGAAGTGGATGTTGTGCACGGGAGGTCTCCGGTTCGAACCCGGGTCGAACCATGCTGGAATCCTAGCTTTTGCTCGTTTTGAGATGAAATCTAATCATCCTTCCGATCGCGAGGGCACCGCTTCAACTTATTTCTCTCTGCGACACGTTTACTCCCAATTATTCTAGCCAAGGGTGTGTCAGTCTGAGACCAATCGCTGGTTCGATGGCGTAGTTGGTTATCGCATCCGTCTTACATTGCACTCCTCTGGTTAATTGTAAGTCCACGGAAGGTCCTCGGTTCGAGCCCGGGTCGAGCCATACTAGCGTTGAGTCCTTTTTTTTTTTTTTTGATTTGGATAGATGTATACACAACGCTGTATAAGATCATGATCCCAGTCAACGTATCGGTTCGATGGTGTAGTTGGTTATCACGTCCGTCTCACATGTACTGTACTGCTATACACACGGGAGGTCCCCGGTTCGAGCCCGGGTCGAACCAATATAGTCATGAGTTGGTTTCTTTTGCCTCCATCGTCGGGGGGCTCGACTTTTCTCTCGTTACGCCCACCCTCGGAGGTAACACGCGCCACTAGGCCAGGAACCTAAGAAAGCCACTCAGGCACAAACGCTTATTTCGGCCGTCGTCACAAAGCCACGTGCCACGTGCCACATGTTTCGTTGTCCCACCCACTGTCGTCATTGGGCCCGGGCCCGTTTCCACACAAAACCCGTTTCATCCCCACGCAGCTCAAAACTTGTGGCATCTCCACTCGCTTTTTTTCGATAAATACCGCGACGAAATCAATCTGAGCCCGCTTAATCTCTAATCTTCTACCCACACCCACAACTACAACCACCTACTCCCACATTCCCTTCACAACCTAATCCTAATCACCATGTCAACCGAAATAGCTCTCCTAACCACCTCCCGCGCCCAAGCCCGCGCAATCCGTCTCGCCCAAATCGAAAAAGAGCAACAACTCGAAGACGCTCAAGCTCTTTCCTTGATCTCTTCTCTCTCTTGCGAGTTGAGCGATGTTAACGTACCCTGGGCGGATTTAGATGGTTTGAGTTGGACTGGGAGTCATCTTCGAAAGGCGACTGAGAAGAAGGATAGGAAGGTGAGAGGGATGCCGTATGGCTGGACAGGGAAGGGTACGGGTAAAGAAATGGGTATGGGAAGGAGAGTTCTCTCTGAGCGTGTTGAGAAGCTCGTTGGTGCGGTGGTGGGGATGAAACCTAGTGCGAGTGTGCCTACGCTTGCGTTTGGTGAGATCACCAACACCAATATCAACACCGCTGAAGCAGAAGACAAAAACCAAACCATTCGAGCACCTGCGATAGCCAACATCCTCGCTCAAACTCGCGTTTCTACACCAACCATTACACCTCCTCTCGTCGTTCGCAACTCTTCCACAACGCGTTTATACAAACCCGACATCGAGCGTCTCATCCAAAGCCGTGAACGCGCCCGAGGAAGAGGCCGCAGTCCCGTCAAAGCGATCTTCTGTGAAGCTGATATGAAGATGAGAGACCGAGTCATCTCTAGAGCTGAAAAGGTCCGTTTTTTCGGCTCATATCGCTATATATACCCGACGTGCTGATATTGTCCGTGTCCAGGTACCACAAGACAACGACGGAGAAGAGCCTGAAGAAGCAGAACGAGAAATCCCAATCGAATACACAGGCGGCGCCGAACTATGTCGTACGCCTTCTTACTCTTACCTCTCCGACCCCGTTCCCATCGTCGAGGAGGTGGAAGTGGAAGACGACATGCAAACACCCACTCCAGGGATGTTCAGAGGCAAGGCTGGGTACTTCTCTACCGTCATCACCACTACCACCACCACGATTGAAACAGACTTTGACGGAGAAGCTACCATTCGTCTACCACCTGCGAAGAAATCCCGTCCTCTCCCCATTCCCCTTCCGGATATGGTGTTCCCAACAGACTCGAACGCCAGCTTCCTCGCATCTGTCGGGGTTAATGCGTTCCCGTTATCGGCGCCTTCGACTAACACCGCTTTTCCTCTTATGTCTCCTACTACCTCCGTACCTACTGCACCGAGACGTGCGAGGGCCAAGAGCACCCTAGAGACCAAGCCGCCTGTCTCCCTTTTGAACCCAACTGTCAACCTGAAGAGAGGAAAAACGCTTTCCTTGGTTGGCCCGAGACCGATGATTGAGAGGAGGCCTACGCCTGTTCCTGGTGTCGGGGTTGGGGTGGAGATTGGTGGGGGGAAGAGGAAGAGGTCTTAGCCGGAGTTGGGGTTGGGATGTAAAAGGCAAACGGACCGGACGATGAAACGATGAACGATAATTGACGCTTTCTTAACGTATTTTTATGATTTTACTACCTACAACGACTGTATCCTAGCCTATCTACAACCTACTACGAACGCTCATGTATCCTACCTACCTACCTACCTACCTACCTATAACTACTTAGAAAGACATATTTCAATTCACCAGAAAGGAAAAAACACACCGGAAGACTTCGACATAATGTGGCTCGACCCGGGCTCGAACCGAGGACCTTCCGTGTGCTTACATGACAAACGACACTTGTAAGACGGATGCGATAACCAACTACGCCATCGAACCAGATATCCGTCTGCTCCTCAATCTTGCCTGTGTAGTGGCTAGTCATGTACACAACGGCAAAAAGCTGACAGTGTGGACGCGGCAATGATTCGACCCGGGTTCGAACCGGGGACCTTCTGTGGTACACAACTCTCACTGAGGAAGATGTTAGACAGATGCGATAACCAACTACGCCATCGAACCATTTGCGTTCCAAAAAATTGCGCCGAACACGACCATGGCTCGACCCGGGCTCGAACCGGGGACCTTCCGTGCGCTTACATGACAATTTGGAGCCGCATGTAAGACGGATGCGATAACCGACTACGCCATCGAACCTTTTGTAGGGCGACGATCTGTAAAGTATCATAAGAAATTCTAAAGGGCAGAGGTTCGATGGCGTAGTTGGTTATCGCATTCGTCTTACATCTTCGTGGTCAGACTCTATGTGAGCACACGGAAGGTCCCCGGTTCGAGCCCGGGTCGAACCAATGGCCAATTCGGAGGATCCCTTTTTGCATTCCCAGCCCAACCGATACAAAGATACATGAGGGAAGATGTTAATCAACATGCGAGTGTGATCACTGATGAATTAGACACCCGTTGTCTACGTATCAAAATGCCGAGTGTCGGCAGTTGTGGAGCACCAGCTTTGATTTTTAGTCATATCTGACTGAGCATGTTTATTGTTTATCGTTAAGCAAAAAGTCGGTGTATTTCATGGTCCGTCACGGTTTAAGATAGGCTGCCAGTGCCAAGTGGATGCTATTTTTCATTATCACTTGAAGTTCCTCCGGCTTCTCGCGCAGCCCCTGGGACTCGGAGGTGATGGAGTTAAAAAGCCAAAATATCGGAGTCGATGTTGAACGTAGTACCTGTCCGAGGCCTTGCCATGCCTGACGTGGAGTCCCCAGCCTGTGCATACAATCTAGTCCACCGCAATCTTTTTTCTTTCCTTTCGAAGTGCGCCTTTTTCATTCCCAACCTCAACAAATACACAGGAGGCGGTTTCTGGGGAATCAACGTGAGTGTGATGAATTAGTAGACACCCGTTGTTAGATGCACAGTGGCTCGCTGCAGTAGACTTCAAAATGCCGAGTATCGGCAGAAGTGGCAAAGGTAACAAGCCGAGTCCCGACTGAACGGCAGCGGGTCAAAGCTAAAGTATCCAAACTAGCTGGTTTTCACTACTCCAGAGTTGAGTCAGAGTTTTATAATCTGACTGGGCACGTTTATCGTTTATCGTTTATCGCCGTCCAAGATAGGTTACATGCTATTCTTCATCCGGCTTCGCGCGCATCCCCTGGGATCGATGCACACGATCATAGGACTTGGAGCCGAAATACCTGTCCGAGCCAATAATGTTGAACGTACCTAATCCTATTGATGAATTAATCAAAAACGCCGCTAGAAATTTGGTGCATGGTTTCAATGGATCCACAGTCTAAGCCACCGTGACCGCAATTATTATTTTTTCACTAGATGCGAAAAAAAACGTACTCGAGCCAGTGCGCAAGATTCTAATTTCTCCATCTGCTTCGGAAATTTTCTGATGTCGACGATACGGTCTTTGCTTCGTGCTATTTCCGTGTCACAGTTGCCACTCTTGATCCTAGGGCCCAACGTGAGCACAGCTGTCCTTCTCCCGACTCGGATTAGTTCGATACCGGACCTCCTTCAAGTTCCAGTGCGTTTCAAGTTTGATTGGCATGTATATCAAGCACTGGCACTGGCAGCTCACTTCGTGATTTGGCCTCAAAAGGCGGTAATGACTCGGACTCGGATGTGATCACGGACAATTGAAGTTTCATGTTCTTGTATGTGAATAAATGTAAGACGACCATGCCATCGAACGACGAACCAACTACATGTATGCTCAAATATCGGACGTTGCTGAGTCAAGCCTGAGTAACATTTAAATGATCGACGGATTAATTGGTTCGACCGTGTCGAATCATTTGGCCTCGGATGCGACCATGGCCAGAAACAATTGAATTTGGCACCCAAGTTTGGCGTTCTTGTATGCGAATAAATGCAAGACGGGTGCGATAACCGATTATGCCATCGAACCAACTACTTACCTACGTGTGCTCAAACATCGGACTTTACTGAGTAAAGTAACATTTCAATGATCGACAGAATCGGACAGATTAACTGGTTCGACCGGGGACCTGCTGTTAGACAGATGCGATAACCGACCACGCCCATCGAACGTCTGATGTGCGGTTTGTGTGATAATATCCACATGTTGAGCGCTGAGCACTCAAAAAATTTGAGGTAACGCTGGACTCCCAGGGATTGGGAGTGCTTTGACTCGCGAAGTGGCAAAGTAGAAAACCGACCGTGCGGCAGCGGAATAGCTTGCTCATCTAAAGTAACAGACTGAAGGTAGTCTAAACTGTGAATCATCACTCCGAGGTCAAGTTTTGATGTCATCTGGCTGGGCACGTTTACCGCTGAGTCTAAAGTTTTAACCCAAAATAGCACCATGCTATGTGCACGTCCTTCATCAATGTTCCTCCAGATGATCGGCATTCTCTGGGAGAGTGTGTGTCAGGATCGCCACATACGATGAACTTGAGTCGAAACATCCGAGTCAAGGGCGAACATACCTGTCAAATCTTTCTTGTCTGCATGGGTGAATTAATCTAAAACCCCCTGAACACTTGGAGAATTTGGTGCATGATTTAGAACAGCATGGGTAGCAGATAGTGGTCCGTCGCCACAGTTTTGCCACCAGGCGTGAAAATGATACGAACAAACATACTCGAGCAGCGCGCAAGATTCTCCATCTGCTTCAGACCTGCCCGAAAATTTCTCAGGCTGGTGTCAACAAGGAGAAGACCTTAGTACTCAGTCTTTGCTCCGTGTATGCTGAGTGCTATCTCCATGTCTCGTTGATAGATTCCGATGTCCTAGGGCCCAACTTGAGCAGAGCTGTCGCTTTGAATGCTTCTCCCGAGCGCTGTTATGTTATGAGCCACTCAGGTTCAAAGTAGTCCGACGCCGCACCTCCTTGTTCCAGTGTGTTTGGATTGGCATCTATATTAAGCAGCTCAGACGACCTTCCTACTTTGGCCCAAAGAGGCGATAGTGAGGTGACCACGGAAAATTGAAATTGGTTACCATAGAAGCAATTTGTTCTCCTCGGACTCGGAACATGGGCTATATAGAAGTGAATGTGGAGCTATTCATACGCTGCAGAGGGCATTAGTATGTAGTTTAACTTCCAATACACCTGTCATCTGAAAGTAACGTCTTCCAAGTCGTTGTATTACTTCTCCCGCAATTGAATCGAATATAGCTCCTTCCGAGTCAAAGCATTTAAACGCATCTACATCCAGATTGGAAGACTACTCTGCCAGGTAGAAAACGAGAGTCAACCGCCGTGTTCTAGTATCTCTACTTTGGACGGATGGTACCCTGGCCTGAGCCATTTCAAGCAATTCTTGGCCTGAAATCGCATCCTGGATTTATTTTCACGGTGTCTTACAACCCTACAACGGTTTTCAGTGTAAATAAACAACATGAATATAATCAAAATACTGTACCCGTCTTACATACCATTCATGCCCTGCTCGTTATCCATAAGACATGGAGAAAGAAGAGCGAGAAAGAGAGAAGACCCTAAGGAACGTTTGATGGTCGTGATGGATATGACGTTGATGCCAAAACACGAGGCGACGTCAAGAATTTCAACCCTAACCTTTCTTTTCCCTTGACCACGATCCTGGTACCTGGCACCACATCACCAGTCGTGTGTCTGCTTCCAGGACCATTGCAACAACTTCTACTTACGATTCCGAGTAAGTCCTCATTCACCTAACAAATGTTGCTCTCAGAAGCCTTCTACGGATGAAATCATCGCGGGTGTTGCTACTTGCATGCGAATTCGAAGAAGTTTATGAATTCCGATACCAACATGCCTATCATCTCCAGTGCTTCTCCCGCGCGCGTCCCTTTGAATTTCCTGCATCGATCGACACCCCAACAAAAAAGAACGGCGTACCTGTCGTCTGAAATGAACGCCAAGCACATATTGTTCCCCTCGGATAAGAGGCATTTTGGTGGTTTCGTTTATGGCTATAATCGCAGCCTTTGGTGTGCTTCGCCACGGAAGTATTCTACAAAATTCAATGACGTTGAGGAAGAACGGTTTACTCACCTATAGCTTTTTGCGCGATGCGTCAAGGTGTAACTCGGGTTAAGAGCTTGGGCTTTGACTGACTTCCGAGGTCGTGGCCTGAGTGGCGGCTTGGTGGCGGCGAGAGGTGTAACTGAAATGCCATCTGTTAGTGTAGGAATGACCAATGAGGAATGGGAAATCCATGACGTGTTTGAGGACCTTGTATTCATATTGAGATTCCAGAGCCGTTGCTTCTAACTTGAACATTTGAAGACGGAATGCGAATTTGAGAAGTTGTACGACATACTTCTCTCCGCGAATGGCAAGAACAAACATATCGGAACACACAGTAGAGGGCAGTAGATTCTGATACGGAAGGCTTGGAACGGGCTGTGAAGGCCGACAATGTAATAGGGAAACGATGAAGAATGCAAAGCTGAAACTTGAGTTTGCGTATGCATTACGAAAGTGATTGTGTGTCTACTTGGGGAAGACAATCCGATGTTACTGCAAGTGAGGCACTTGTTTAGTGAGAAGTGAAAAGAGCGTGGCGTGTGTCCAAGTTCCAACCGAAGGCAGAAGGGGTAATTTTGGTTAAATGAGTCTGAATGAGCGGGGTCAGAAACCCGAAACGTTGAAAACGAATCACGATCACGACGGTGCAAAAGTCCTTGGAAGACGCCCGCCGTGACGTGTGCACGAAGTTGATACGCTCACGGCGAATGGGTCGAGTCTGGGCTGTTTCCAGCATTGAAATTATTGCGGGTGTTGCGTGATAATCGTTTAATGAAGTTCGTGAATTCCGGTATCAAAGCTCCAAGTCCAGGTTCCAATACATCTATCGGTTGTTGTGTATGCTTCTCCCGAGGACTTTTGTGATTCCTGCATCGATCGCCAGCTGCTCGGAGCTCAGCTCCCGTTATGTCGTGAACGCTAGTCCAAAGGAGTTCGCCACACTCCGACTCGGCCCCTGTTCCAGTACGTTCTTGTTGGAACCTTATCACAACCAGGGCACAACACCATGAAATTGGTTAGTATTACTAAAAATACGATTTGGGACGTTGGCGCCACTCACTGAATATGGTCACGGTTATCATCACGGTCAGGGATCACCTTCCAGGAGCGCCATGTATTCTGATATTGAGATTATGGGTCGAAAATGTTTCTATGAAACATCACTCCAACGGAGGGAAAAAGGATTTTTCTCTCAGGCTGTCCTTCGTTGTGTGTTTGCCGTTGATCGTCTGCAAATGATATATAATTCCAGTATACCTGTCGTCTGAAATGAACGCCAGCCGCGCTGTATTTACCCTGTTATCGCTTCTCCCGAAATCAAAACTCTGAATCTTGAGGAATCAATTCCAC